ACGACAGCCGGTTCTACGTTACCGGAATTGACTCGGATTTCATCCGACCAAGGGCTGTTTTTTCGGCGATCTAACCCCATTTGGACGGTGAGTGTTGATTTGTGTGTGTCGTCAGTGGAGCAACGCCTTGCAGCAGGGTTGCTCCGTATTCTCCTGATCGTGCTGGCATTGAGTCCAACCCGGGCTCGGAGGAATTCTTCTGCTGCGTTTGCGCGAAAAGGCTCCATCCAAACTCCRCCTCGGTCAGGTGCAACACATGCAATGGATGGAGCCATCTTAAGACCTGCTCAGGCCTTTAGACCCATAGGGAGTGGACCACACGTTACGTGGCCCCTTGTTGCCTACGCAATACTGCGACGCTAGCCTCTACGGCTGTGCAACCAGCACATAGTTCGCGCGCTGCGCCGCCACCCACCTCAAGTGGCCAACAGAGGACCTCCACGGTCCCCCGGAGCTCAACTAGGCAACATAACTCCCAATCTGACTTGTCGACCGCAGGGACGCTACCCTAGAATGTCAGGGCATAGCTGTCCGGTCAGGCGATGTCGAGCTCGAAATATTTAATATATACATCCCCCCAGTTACATGTTGCCCTACAGGATATCACCCGAGGTGCGCTACTTCGTGGTGAAAACCGTTTGGTGCTAGGCGACTTTAACGCGCACCACGATCTTTGGCATTCCTGTCTGTCACATGACCGTAGGGGGATGGAGCTGRCGGAACAGATTGACGATTCGACATTCTGCACAATGAATGACGAAGCCCCYACYAGAGTTATGGGCACTTGTAGTAGCTCGCCCGATATTACAATCGCTAGCGGTGGTCTGATAAATAGCATGACCTGGCGACCTATGCTAACTCATGCATCAGACCACCTACCCATAATTATCTCGATCGAGAAAATTGCCGATTTCGTTTCTGTGGACAACCGCACCTTCGTTAACTTCAACAAAGCTAACTGGGTCGGTTTCACAGAATTTACTGAGAGCACCTTCAACGCTCTACCCATTCCTACGGACGTATGCGTTGGCGAACGTCAATTCCGCAAGGTGATCGCAGCAGCTACCGCTCGCTTCATACCAGCTGGACGAATAGCGGAAATCCRCCCTAACTTCCCAGCCGAAGCAGCCGTTTTAGCTGATGAGCGCGACACCTTACGCCATGCGGATCCCGGGGATCCCCGAATAAGGGATCTCAATTTGGAGATTCGGCGTATGGTAAACCAGCATAAGCGGACGAAATGGATAGAGCACCTGAAGTCCTGCAACCTCTTCACCGGTGTGAGTGAGCTTTGGGCTACTGTCAAAGCTTTGTCCAACCCGAAGAGTCABGAGGACCGAGTTGAAGTTCAATTCAATGGTCATGCCTCTTCGGACCCGAAGAAGTGCGCGAGCTATTTTAGCCGGCAGTTTGCACTGCACGATGTGTTAACCGACGGCTGCGCAAAATGCCAAACGMYGGCGCGCCACTTACTTTCACCGATGAAGAGGTTCAGGGTGTCATCAACAAAGCAAAATCTTCCAAATCCATTGGCCCTGATGGAATCAACATGCTAATGCTAAAGCATCTAGGCTCGACGGGACTAAAATATCTCACCAAAGTCCTCAACCTGTCACTTACCACTCTTCAAATACCCGATGCGTGGAAAGTCGGAAGAGTGGTCCCACTACTGAAACCTGGGAAACCCGCCAACAAAGGGGAATCTTATCGCCCGATAACTCTCCTCTCCCCAGTAGTGAAGACACTTGAAGCCTTGTTACTCCCGCCTTCACTCCCCACCTGAGCTTAGCCAGCCACCAGTATGGATTCCGTAAAATGCATAGTACCACCACAGCACTTAGCGTCAYAAACGCTCAGATAGTTTGTGGCCTCAACCAGAAACCACCCTGTGAGAGAACGATCCTCGTAGCGTTGGACCTGTCAAAAGCTTTTGACACGGTCAATCACACAACGCTATTGCAGGACATTGATAGAACCACACTTCCTCCAGGGCTCAAGAGGTGGACCATGAACTATCTGAACGATCGCCAATCATCCTTACTATTTCGAGGCGCAACATCTAAACTGARAAGAATTAAACAGGGGGTTCCGCAGGGTGGTGTCCTCTCCCCGCTACTGTTTAACTTCTACATCTCGAAACTCCCGCAACCACCAGAGGGGGTTTCCATAACCTCGTACGCTGATGATTGTACGATATTGACGTCAGTTAATGGAATCGATGGCATGTGTGCGAAGGTAAACAACTACCTCTCCGACCTTTCTCGTTTCCTCACTSMACGGAACCTCCAACTTTCCCCTACCAAATCCACAGCGACCATATTCACGAACTGGACGAAGGAGTACAGACTGGAACTTAATATTGTTTCGACCTTAAAGTTCAAAAATTCGCAAATTCGAACATTTCAAGAAGCTATTTCACCACATTAAACACACTTTATTCACATTTTTCATTTCAAATTAATTAAATTACACTATAACCTTTTAAATAAATCCAAATTGTTGTTTGAACCTCATTTGTTTACCAAAAATTACGACGAAATAGAGAGCTGCCATGTGAATTTAATTAAATTACATTATAAACTTAAAAAAAAATCCACATTTTTCACTTTTAGCAGGTTTTTTATACCTAAAAAATCTTTGTTTTAAAGATTACATTTTACACTCGTTTTAACCTCATTTGTTTACCAAAAATTACGATGAAATGGAGCGCTGCTATGTGGTGATAAAGCAATTCGCTGCAATTCCTCTTTTTCACAAAAATTCCTCTATCCATGCATATGGATATTTTCTTTTTTAAATTTATTAAGCTGATGAGTAATATTATATACATGAATCAGTAATTTTATATAATAATATTACGTAATAAAGTGTAAAGTATACAGTACAGTACAAAAACTCAAATTTTAAATATAATATATGTATTGTCACCTAAAATACAGTAATATACGAAATATATAAGTATAATAATAAAGTGTAAAGTAACCAGTACAGTACGAAAACTCAAAGTTTTTTTTAATATGAGTGCATAACAACCAAAAACTATAACCACTTTAACCACTTTATAATAAAAACTCAATATATTTTTTAATTTTAAACGCAGAAAGGAGAACTACGCTAAAGTACTTCAGTTAAGCCGGGTATTCGCTCGACCAGGGTTATTTTTTTAGAACGCGAAGGCCGCCAACGTAGAAGGAGAATGGTAGTATAAAATTGTAATATTTATGTATATAGAAATGTTATATTACAATCCTATAAGTACTATAATACATTCAGACGATTTTACTTATGCGTTTATAAAATATAAATCACATATTATTCATATATTCATATACATATGTATGTATGTATATTGAAAAGTGTTCACATATTCAATTTTAGCTTGAAAAATCTTTATAGTTTTTTATAGATTATAAAGAAAACAGAATCACTCGAAAGTACAAACAAATAAAACGCTGTAAAATCCGTCTTTTTTGTTTTTAAGGTGTGGCAAAGCTTGCTTTCCTCGTAAATATAAACACTCTAAATTTTTCAGCCATAAATTTGATAAGTGATTTTTAAATTACTAAATTTAGCTGAAAAATTACAAAATAAATGTGAAATGAGAGCATATTTCACTGCTTAGAGTGTATATTTAAATATACGCAGTAAAAAGCGTTAAAAAATGCAGTGAAATATAGAGAAATTCCATCTGTTCTTAGTTCAAATTTTTTCATTTTTAAGCGTGAATATTTTAAAAAATGTTAGTTATTTTATCTGGGATTTAGAATAGCATCCCCAGATTTCGGAAATAAAATGGGAAAGGTGACGTTCTCCAGATCACGAAAATATATACATATAGTTACCGCTGACTTATAGTTTTAAAGATATTTCTATTTAAAATTTCAAAATTTACAACTTTTAAATTGATAATATGTATATTGTGAATAACTATTTCACGTATATTATGCACAAGGACAATTACTCCAACCAACAAAACTTTACTGATTTGATTATTGAGTATCTGTGGCGTAAAACCATACGAAGAAACATTGAAGATCCATTTGAAAAGCTTTTATTTATGACAAAATATTTTTATATTAACATATTTTACGTATTTGGGATATAATGTGTTTGCTTATTTTCTTTTGTTGACAACTACGTAGGCAGATATGTCAATACCATTTATTTGCTAGCATGCAACCCTATTCTTGTCGTGCAAATGCAGTTAATTTAACTAAAATAAAATAATTAAAATAAAGCTTTATTTACAACAAATATTAAAAAAATTAATATACAGAAACGTTACAGTGAAGTGTTAGTAAGTGAAAAGTGCATAATATACGTGAAAAARTTATTCACAATATGCAAACTATCAATGTAAAAGTWGTAAATTTTTTAACTTTAAATGCAAATATTTCGTGATCTGGAGAACGTCATCTTTAAAGTGACACCATTTTAGCCCCGGSGATGCTATTCTAAATTTATTTTTGATATTCGGACGGAAATTCGGTTTTTTAGCCCTCCACCAAAGTAATCAGAACAGTTCCAACAGTTTAAATAGTTAAAACTTTTAACTTCAAGCTAAATATCAGGAAATTTAAATTTTACTCTATAACACGAACCTGCTCTATCTACATACATATACCCATTTTATCCCCGATTATGCCTTTCTAATGCATCACCCATGATCCATATTTATAACCAGTTAAGTCATTTAGACCACTTCCTCCAAATAACGGATAACTTGGATAAGCTGCAGTCTGGTTTCTCTAAAGTCAAGTGCTGAGTTAAACTAAGCAATTGCGATTTATAATTTATGTATTAAAGCTATTAGGCTAGGCAATTAAAATTTCAGAAACCTTCGTAGAAGTACATGTATGTATGCAGAAGCTTGATTGTGTCTTGATACAAATCCCCTTCAACGAGTACTTCATGGAAAGACAAAATGCTGAATCGTATAACATTTTACAAAGTCCGACACATATTCCTGAACATTACTTGGTAAATATAAAAGCACGTACCATGTACATATTCCAAATTCGTTGCAAAGACTGCATTCTCATCTAAAGTAATTATATTTTTCACTCCAATTTGTAATAAAAAAAACTTTCATCTAACGCGATGTACCGATAAGCAATAACACTTGTCAAGACAACGCCGTCCATATTGCCATTGAAGTCAGTTCATTATATATACAGTTATTTATTCGTTAATTTTAGAATATCGGCCCCCAAAATTCAAGATTAAAAAGGGAAAGTACGGATAGTTTAAAGTGTGGTTCTCCAATTTAGAATCCGTTTAACTCTAGATTTATAACTTTTATATTCAAAATATATAACAAAACCAAAGGTTTTACTCAAAGTAAAGATATCATAAATGTGGGTTAACAATGAAATCGTTCAGTATTTCTCTTCTCATAAGAACATCCGGTGTTTCATGGACCAGGGTTACTTTTTTAAAACATCGCAATACCCAAAGAAATTGCTATTCATTTAGGAGTTCTCTGCAAAAAAATAATGACTACACACCAGAGAACTACAACGAATAATAAATGCTTGTTCATAATAGAGTATAGATTTGTTACTCTGTTTAATTCTGTCAGTACGATTCATCTTCACGATTGTCTTCAAATCAGGGTTAGAGAACAACCTTGAATCACTAAGGATCAGTTTATACTTTATTTGCTTATGAACTTCGAAGAATGGAAAATGGAGTGAAGTGTAGAAGTTCACAGAATTGAGGAAAGTCCTCTGATCGCTATTCACTTGTGAGTGGCCAGAAACGATCCTTTTACATATAGTTCCAGCAGCCAACGACTTCCGGTCTTTGACTTAGTATTCTCTGGGTAGCCTAAGAACATTCGTTTAAAGGCGAGCTAAAGTGAGAAGGCGATACCTCCCATACATAGGGTTGTGCGCTGGGTTTGGGACCCTCCACATAAAAAAGAGCATCCACTGAAAAATAGCAACCAGATTCGGATGAGAGACCCTCCTATTGACGGCGACCATAGCAAAAGACTTTAAGGGCATGCACCAGGCGAGTAAGTCCTTGTGGCATTTACTACAGTGGTCATATAAATGAGCGCAAAATTGGTGTGGGTTCGTGGTGGGAGGGAGACTCCGTCGCCGAGTACTGTCATTCATCCCGGGGGATAAACGTCCAGTCACAATCCACATCAAAGCGACCAGGGTTATTTTCTGAAGCTTTGTCGAAAACCGTTAAAACAAACAATTCCCACGACAGCCGGTTGTACGTACCGGAATTGACTCGGATTTCATCCCACCAAGGGCTGTTTTTCGGCGATCTAATCCCGTTTGGATCGGTGAGTGTTAGTTTGTGTGTGTCGTCACCGGAGCAACGTCTTGCAGCAGGGTTGCTCCGTATTCTCCTGACTCGTGCTGGCATTGAGTCCAACCCGGGCTCGGAGGAATTCTTCTGCTGCGTTTGCGCGAAAAGGCTCCATCCAAACTCCRCCTCGGTCAGGTGCAACACATGCAATGGATGGAGCCATCTTAAGACCTGCTCAGGCCTTTAGACCCATAGAGAGTGGACCACACGTTACGTGGCCCCTTGTTGCCTACGCAATACTGCGACGCTAGCCTCTACGGCTGTGCAACCAGCACATAGTTCGCGCGCTGCGYCGCCACCCACCTCGAGTGGCCAACAGAGGACCTCCACGGTCCCCTGGAGCTCAACTAGGCAACATAACTCCCAATCTGACTCCCGGTATTGGTAGAGATCACGAGCTATGGAAATGCCAGAACGTATCATATCCGACCGAGAAACGGCCTTCACTTCAAAATCGTTCCAAAAGTTTTGCATTGAAAACAACGTCAAACATATTCTCAACGCAGTGCGTACGGCACCCGCACGATGGGACCAAACTACGTCAAATAGAAAGGAGCATTAATACCATCCCGAATAAAAACACAGGTTTTACACCATTCTGACTACGGGTACGTGCCACGAGACATCCTCCAGAATCAACTTATCCAGGCACTCCAAGACGATGATAGTGATGATAGTTTACCCTGGTAAACGACACCGACCTACAGCAACTACGAGGCGTCACCGCTCAACGAATAAACGACGTAAAAGCATAAGCCAAGAAGCTATATGACTCAAAGCATAATCAACCAAAAACGTACAACGAAGGTGATCTCGTATTGACTACAAATGAACCAATAAGCTCCGGTACATCACGTAAATTAGAACCACGATTAAGAGGACCATTCATCGTCACCAAAGTCCTGCCAAAGGATCACTATGTAATTGAAGACTTACCTTCATATCAAATTAAAACTTGGTGCATGTTACCACCTTATGATCCAGATGACAAAGATTAGAGCACCATGGGCGAGGGCGCCACATTGGGTCTGGAAAACCGACTGTAAACGATGCAACTCTGTTACCCAACAAGTGTCAGAAAACACGAAGCAAGTGGCAGCAACAAAAGGGCACAGCCAAAGGCAACCATCAGCGAGTGAACAACTTAAAATTACGAGTACGCAGTATTTGAGAAAGTTACATAAATTTGCATAAAGAGTCATATTTTCATATATTTTAATACATTTCTATATTTTAAATTGTTTGACTATCAGTTATAACGARTGGACGCGAGTACGGTGTTTTACAAATGTAATATCCGAAGAAATTGTTCAGATCGGTTAACCACAGCCTTTAGCAGCCATACAAACTGAACGATTGGAATCAAGTTCTTGTTTGGACAACTTTTACATTTGACAAGACATATTCACGAAATTTGGTGCTATTCCCTGTGAGAACTAAATATCTATGTAGAATTTAGTCCACACAACCCATAAAGGCCCACCCTATTGTTCACAACACAACGGGGAAACCACGCCACTTCTAGAAACACAAGAAGCTGAAACAACATGAACGCAGTAAAAACACGCCACACAAGCAATACAACGGGATAACCACGGAGACGGAGAAATCAGACAAGCAGACGAAATAACAACAAGCATGCATACGCAGCGGTAAAACCACGCCACTGCCAGCAACATACGCCATCACAAAGCGACATGTTGCTAATGTGTTAGCACGCAGCACAGGCTTGGTGGGGAGTTAGATGGCCGATGATCAGGCAGTCAGCACGGGACTGTGACAGCGTATACACGWTCAGCATCAGACTACGCAGTGAGTTTATCCTCTAACTAGTCTCGGTACTCTGACTTTTAAACGCCATCTATTAAGGGTGAACTTGGTAGTGAGTTTATCCTCTGACCAACTCAACCTTTAACATCGAGATCGCTGACGCAGTCTTCCGTGGTCCGGTATCTTTACGCGGCAAAGGTGGTCGAACAGAACATCACCAGAGTAGCACGCGCGTGTAACGTGGACAGCGTCATCGAAGCCTACACGAGCGCCTGCAGAAGTAGACAGGCGTAGTCGTCGTAGCACGCGAGTGTCAACGTATAGGCCAGGATATCGTCATCAAAGCATACAGCAGCGCCGGCAGAGATAGTCGGGCGCAGTCGCCGTAGCCGCGGAGCGTCAACACCGCCAGGACACCGTTATTGAAAACCTACACGAGCGCCGGCAGAAATAGCCGAGCGTGGTCGTCGTAGCACGGGAGCGTTAACGCACGTCGCAGGATATCGTCAGCGAAGCCTACGCGAGCGCCGGTAGAAGTAGGCGAGCGTGATTGTCGTGGTACAGAACAGCAAGTCGTATAGCACCCAGGAGCACAGCAGAGCGGGAAACGGTATTGTCCTAACGGATCACACGGAACCGTTACCCTGACAGTACTCTCCTCGGGCGACGACAGTAAAATACAGGAGACAATTTTGTAACTTTAACTAAAATATATAAGTTAAATAAAATAAAGTACCCTGGACACGGCGAGTATACCTCAGCAATTTATACTTGTAAGAAGCAGGGGCAACAAAACGCTTCGTTACATCCCATGACAACCGGTTCTACGCACCGGAATTGACTCGGATTTTATCCGACCAAGGGCCGTTTGGATTGGTGAGAACTAATTTGTGTTTGTTGTCACTAGAGCAACGCCTTGCAGCAGGGTTGCTCCACATGCTCCTGACTCATGCTGGCATTGACTCCAACCCGGGCCCGCAGGAATTTTTCTGCTGCGTATGCGCACAAAGGCTCCATCCAAACTCCACCTCGGCCAGATGCAATACATAATGGATGGAGCCATCTTGAGACCTCAGGCTTTAAGACTCATAGGGAGTTGACCACGCGTTACGTGGCCCCATGTTGGCCTATGCAATCTGCACATAGTTCGCGGGCCGTGCCGCCACCCAACCAGAGTTGCCGCCAGATGACCTCTACGATCAAGAGCTCACTCAGGCAACATAGCTCCCGCTCTGACTTTCCCCAACGTGGGGCTGGAAGAGGAAAATTAGCGATCAACAATCAACAACCCAGCCACAGAGCAAGGGAATTACCATATTTCTTGAAAAATCATGTAAGTGAATGGCACAGAAAATCGTCATCATTTGTGAAACTAATAAAGCAGCATTAAATAAAGAGTGAAGTGATCTTTTTTTTTATTGTTTTGGTGGCCGTTAACGATTGTGCCGTGTTTTGAGTGAAAAAATACTTGTGTGTGTTAGTTTGTTCAGGGTCTAATGAGCCACCCCCTCACGATAAAGAGCTTTACGATAACTATTGATAAACCATAGCACTAGCAGGTTACGTGTAGCAGACGTAGCGGAAACAGAAAAAGGGATGGACGCAAGACAGGTACTAGCGGTGTTAGAAGCCGCATTGGCGGCACAGATCGCTCAATGGAGACAGGTTATTGATGAAAAAATTAGTGAAGTTAGGAACGAGCTGAGTGCATTGAGGGTCGCGACCCCTGAAGTATAAAGCTACCAGAAAATTGCGATAGTGCAGGGAAAATCGTGTAGTCAGACGTTGGACCTCGTCAAGTCATTGCCAGAGTTTGATGGTAAACAAGAGGAATATATTTCGTGGAGGCAGGCAGCGATGGCCGCCTAGGAATTATTGGAACCTTATGAAGGCAGCGTAAAGCATTATGAGGCAGTAGGTATTATTCGGAATAAGATTAGGGGTTCAGCGAATAATACACTGGCCTCATTTAACACAGTTTTAAATTTTAAGGCCATTGTGGAACGATTTGATTTCA